GGTGAACTGAATGATGTTGGAGAAACAGCAGGTCCTGTACAACATTGTACCAATAAAAGTGCATCAGGAGATGAATTTCAAAAGCTTATAAGCAAATGAATGCTCCATATGAGCATGACCCCTTGAGCAAATAACAGTGAGCAATACTTGTCCAATGTTTTTGCTGCCAACTGAGTTATACAACTATTGTCATCTACTTAGTTAAATGGCAGCGCCTGGAAGTTCCGCTGGTGCTTGAAGTGGAAATTTAATTGATGGAAGTGAAACTAGTATAATAATATGCGAAATTACAAATATCACCAACCTTGGGTTACAGTTGCCACGACCGGAGAAATATTATCAGGTGCTTTTCCATGAAAATCAGCATCAGGCACTCCTACACTAGAAATTGCTAATGAAGAGACAATAGAGGATGAGAAATAATGGCTACAATATGTAAAACATCTCTAATAGCATTCCAAGAATTTTTTTGGGAACAGATGATGATAGAAATTACATGTCGAAACGGGAACATCAGGAGCTGGACTTTGCACGGAAGGCCTCATTCTTGGTTTCTCTGCCTTGGCAACATGATCAGGTGGTGCACTGGGCTGCGTTGATGGTACTACTGCTTGGACGGTAGGTGGTAGAACCTCAGACTTAGGCAACACGGTTGGGGAATTGAGGACAGATCCTGGTACACACACATTCGTTATGCTTAAGAGTCCTAGGGAGCATTGTGGTACATTATGAATTGGTTACCTTGGGTGACTATTGAAGGGCTAGGTGCATAATTAGTGAGTGGTTCTGACAGGTGCATCGGAGGAGGTGCCTTTTCTTTGATATGAGGGACCATGGTTGCTAAGTCTAGTGAAGGGGATATGTAGGAGCCTGCATATGTCAAAGTTTTCATCCGTGAAAAGATGGAGAAATCAAGTTACTGGAGATCACCCATTCTCACTAACCTAAAGCTGGGGTTTGAAAATCCAGCATCTCCAAAGTCTTAATTTCCATCTTTATATTGGTGGTTGGCAAGCCAGGTCTCATCTGTAGCAACATTCTTTGAGAAACTAGTTGTCGTTTGAAGTAAGGACCTATAAACCATAAGCAAGAGCCGCAACAAAATGAATTAGCACAATGGATTATCTAGAGGAATTACAAATATAGTTTATGCATAAAGCAGCCTAACAATTATCTGGATTTTGGTTAAAGCTTCCGCCTGACATTCTTGCCTTAGTTTCTCTTCTTCTTTTTTTAAATTAGTCTAAAAATTATATTCTAACTAAGCAGCATCAGGGAAAATAAAAAGGCTAAAATTCTGATGATGGTTCTCTAAGCTTTCATATTAAATATGTTCACTGAAAATTTGTTTCCTTGAATGGCCCATTGGAACTTCGGAATCATTAACATGTACTAGATAGCTATACATCATAACCATTTAAATGACAGCAAAAAATTTATGGTATCATAAAAAATTGTATTGAAAGACAGAACAAGAAACTATTATGTATGGCATATTGTTAAGTGTGATTAGTATTTGTCAGGCACTCAAATGACTAATTATAAACAGAAGGAAATGCTCAGAACTAATTCAATTAACATTAACCTAGAATCTAATATATCGATCTCCTATCAATCAAAAGAACTTGTTAGCAAGTGTTCCAAAGCATATCACTTGAAACATACCCAACAAATGTAGAACAACAACAACTGGAAACTGTCGTGGATATTTAGAGCACTCCGGTGGCAAGAAATCATGGAAGTTTTCATTAACATCATTCATCTTGGAACTTGTACATCTTTTTCTTTTAAAAAGTAAAGATTCTGATAAGCAATACGAATCATAGAAACTAAACTCGAGGAGGAAATTGTTTAAAACATCCAAGTTAATAAATGATCAAGCTGATCAACTTTGGAATAATGGAATCCTCAAGCAGATTGTCGACATGGGTAACAGAGACAAGGAATCAGCTCCATTCTGCTTAGTTATTTTTTTCTCCGATTTCACACAATACAAGTAATTTAGGACTTCGAGTTAAAAATTCCAGATGAAAACGATCGGGTATGGCAAATTCTGTTGAAATGAATGCAATACAGAAGAATCATCTTTCATGTATCATGATCATCCGATCCGGTTTCTTTCCAAAAATTTCTCACAACATGAAAGATGTAAACACTGATGAATCAATCTTTTATCGTTCGGCGTACTTCAGTTCAGGTTCAGACCACAATCATCAATCGGAGCATACACGACAAACGAAAACTCTTCAGAAAAAGGTCACAACAACTAAGGACTAGAGACGAGGTGTCTATTTTCAGCAAGAACAGATCAAGATCACGCAAAAGAATACCTCGAAAACGAATTCCCAGGCGAATTCTATTACCTTTCGATCCATGAATAGAAAAAAGAACTACCAGCGCGCAGAGGAGCCACGGGCATAGAACTCTCCGCCGCCACCGTCCCATCCTGTTACTCCCGTCTCATAGCAAATATCCAAATCGAATTGCGGGACCAAAACCAGCTTCCGCACCTTCCTCCGAACCAATCAACTCGCACCTGGATAGGTGCAACGAACGAACCAACGAAGGGCGAAGCGGACGCAGAGAGGAACAGAGCCAAAGGAGAGGTCTTTTAACCAAATCCAGGCTGCAAGATCAGAACTTTTGATGCCAAATCCCAACACAGAACAGCAAAGCAAGGGAACGAGGAGGTCCCTTCTCTCTTCCAGCTCTCAGAAAGAAACCCAACAGAGGTGCCCTGCCACTATTGAACCCAAGAAAAGGCGGACTGCTCCTGCTGCCATGTGATGCAACGAACACTAGAAAAAGGGAGGGCCTTTGGTCCACTTCCAGTCCTCAGAGATCATGGAGGAGGAAAAGATTCCAGGGCATTAAAGAAGTGATATGTAGACCCCTGTCTCATGTCCTAGGAGCGGGTTTCCATTAAATTACACTCGTGTTTATGGGTAATGGGAAGGGGCCAAACCATTTTCTAGGGTTAGGTTTGTGAGTGCAACTTGGACCGACTCCAGAACCGAAAGCACGAAGATGCGTTGTAGACTTTGTTTGGCAGCCTCTGAGCAAATGAGTGTTGGACTGAAAGGGTGGGGTTGCGATGTCTTGGGGTGGTATGATTCTGCAATGCTGTCTTCTCTCTTCAATTGATTGTTCGGCTGCTTTCGACAGGCATTTCTTGGAGGTCCAACTTTGGGTGCAGTGGGAGCTTCCTTCTTCGTTCCAATCTCGCATGGATGGGTGTGGTCAAGAGTTCTCTGATGAACAGCTTGGACATGTCAGGGGATGCTTAGCGCATGTGATGAATACACATGCTTCTTTGGGATGCGTTGGAGAAACAGTGAATCATGGTTTAATGTGTGTCATAGCTGTCATCTCACAGTTGTTCTCAAGAACATGATGATCCACCAACAAGTTTCAGATGGTGAAGATGAACCATTTGCAGAACAGAATTTTGATTGATCCTCGAGGATGAAGCGTGCAGCATCGTGAACGGAGAAGGATGGGGGGTGATGTGGTGTGTGCACTGTGGCCTCAAGCAGAAAGATGATGATCTTGAATGCGGTGATCTTTCCCAAAGACAACCAACCACCTGAAAAGGGATTCATTCAGGAGTGAGTCACCATCACATCCACATGTTCCCACTGCCTCAAAGTTGCAGTGGTAACAATTAATGGATTCAGGAGTTTGAAGACGATGACAGAGGGCAGCATACGATGAGAACCAGAAAAGTTTAGTGACCAAAGCAACACAAACCAACCAAAGTAAGGGATTTACAAGTTCATAATGGAAGAGCTTTTTGGCTTCCCCACTTCCGAAGGATAAGGAGAGGGATGACAAAGTCTTTTTGGATGAAAATATCTGTCTGTGCAGCATATGTGACGCCATTTGGGAGATCCTTGAGATGGAGACTGCCATGATGGAAGCTTGCGTATGGTAGTCGAGTTGTAGCTTGTGCTTATCTTGTCACCACTGTGTTCGATGAGTCACATGCCGCCGCAGCAGCAGTTGCTTCAGTGGAATCCCATTCCAGAAAGAACCAGTGGGAGCAAATGGGAAAGAAACCAAAGAGTCTTATCTTCACCTAAAACAAAATCCAATGCACAAACTTGGAATCACTGTAAAGGTGGTCACATCTTTTAGATAGTTAATCTTTTCTGCCCAAAGTTAAGTTGTCATATATTATATGTTGTCAAGTTATCATTTTGCATATTTTATAACACTTAAAAGTAATCTCATAATAACATTTTAAAGTTATAAATATACATACATAATAACAATAAATCATAAAGTCTTTATTATTATTATTATTATATATATGTATAAAATTGAAATCTAAATCCCAGCTTGATCTCACGACTTCACCCGACTTGACCGGACCCGGAAATTATTTGGGTTTGGGTTTAATTAGTCATTCTAGAGTATTCCTGCACGGGTCGATCGGACCCAACTCTATAATCCTCAGTATAGAGTTGCTTTAGCATCCACATGGCGATGGATTATTGGTTCGATGGGCTTTAAGAGTTGTGCCAGAGTCAAGATGGTCATGTGCTTTTCTGGTTTTCGTCCTTTAATAGTCCAACCTTTCTTTGCATCAAGTGTCAACTTAGCTGGTAGGACGGTCAAAATTGTCGGCAGGCCTGATAACTTGTAGTTCCAACCCGATGCGGATCCTCAATCTATTTATCCGATTCGATAAGAATTCTCAATCTAATTCCAGTGGCTGACCCTATATATTGTAGTTCCGATCCAATATTAGTTTCGGATCAGCATGCGTATCCTCCATACCCATTTGGATTTGGATCTGAGTCAACACCGAACCTAACCCGATAACACTCGAGTCTTGGAGCACATCTTTGACCAGAGGCTCGTGTGCATTTGACTTTTGACCGTCTCTCTTCCCGGTCTACAACAGCTCGTTTACTGGCTCTTCTATTGCATGTTGCATGTCCAACTTGGATTAAAACAACTAGAAGCTACACCCAAGACTTCAACCCTGGACTCCGTCTTCTCTCTTACGTTTGTTTCCTTCGTAGATGTTAACTCCCATCTGATCAGCCAACGATTGTTTTAGGTGTGCATAATTTATTACATGCATCGAACCTTCTCCTTGTATATAACCTTCTTTTACAAGCTTGACTCGCTCGTTCCGATTAGGTCTCCATGGATGGATGGTGCTGTGACGATGAAGATGGCGGCCACTCCATGGCAATTCTCCAATCTTTTGGAGGATCCTTCTGTAGCACCATCAGCGAGTATGTCTAACAGCATGTTCATTACTCTCACGTGTTTGCTTAGCTTTTGATGGTGACTTGGGTTTTGCTTGATTTCCTCCTCAAGTGATGTTCTCGGACCAGCTAATCTGAAGTCGAGGGATTCGGATCTTGTCAACTCGGCTGCGTTTCTACTGCCCGGACAAATCTACCAGGTGAAGGTCTTGGATATCTGAAGTCAACTGTGGTTTCTCTTCTTCTCTTTCTTCGGAATGATGAGAGATCAGACAGCCCAAGCTCTTTGTAGTGTTTGCTGGGGTTCTATCTTTGCAGTAAGCTGCAAATGTTAAAGCACTTGTTTTCACAGGCTAATCGGCATCGTTTTGGTCTTCTGCAACAGTGTGCAGCGTTAACGGGATGCAGAAAACAAGAGCACGATGACCTGGGGATGACCTCCGGATCCAGTAATGTAAGTATTCTGCAGCTAACGAGCTCACGAATCACTGATTGAATGATGTTGAGAGTTTAATATGACCAGTGTGCTAATTCTGTCGGCAGAACATCGACGCACAAATAGACGAACAAGACTTGTTCATGGAACAGCAGTTCTTCCTCCACGAACACTGTCGGTCTTCGTCCTCGTCCTCGTCGCTGCAATCCTTGTCGATGGACAATATCACTGATTCTTATGTTTCCAACACTATGCAAACCTACAACCAGCATCGAAGTGTTCGGTTCCCATCTTCCGAGAGCGAGGACGCTGCGATCACCAGGGCGATGATGGCGGTGCTCTCTTCTTCCAACTCCTCGTCTTCTGCTGCGTCTCCTCCTTCGGTGATGTCAAACCCACAACAACAAGGCCAAGCGAGTTTGCCACGGCGGGCGTTTAGGTCCTACGACTCGGTCCTCGCTCCACACTTGGAACTCAGGAAGAGCTCATCCGGGCAGAAGATGTTAAGGAACTCCATCCTCATGCTGAGAAGTATCAGTTCGGTGAAGAGCGAAGAGCAAGTAGAAGGGCGTCGATCCACCAGCAACCAATTGCATCATGTGATATCGGAACGTCGACGTCGAGTGAAGCTCAATGACAGCTTTGATACACTCAGTACGCTGCTTCCTCCTGCATCAAAGGTATGCATAACAGTGTCAATGCATCATTTTTAGGATCCGAAACAAGATAATGTTAATCCTGTGGATTTCATCTCCTTTCTCTGTCTTGCTTTATGATAGAAAGACAAGGCTTCGGTGCTGATCAATACAAGGAACTACCTGAACACATTGAGAACTCAAATCACGGAGCTGGAGGAGAAGAACCGAAGTCTGGAGACGCATCTTTGTACAGATGAAGCTCGTCAAGGCGATGGCTCCGCTAAAAGCGTGAAAGTTCAAATCATCAAACCCTCTGAGCCAACATCCGATGTGCAACAAATCGACATTAGGATGACCGTAAGCGTAGAGTGCGACATCATCGAGTTGGTTCTCCATGTCCTCGAGTGCTTCAAAGGGTTGAGAGCTGTAACTGTGGCAGCAGTAGATGCATGCACGTACTCTCCCCGAATGCACATCTATGCAAGAGCAAATCTCAAGTTACAGATCAAGGTATGGAACATTTTTTACATTCAAATGATGAGAGACTGATTAGATTTAGAGAGACTGAAAAGAAATCTAGCCTAATAATTGTTTATGGCAAAATCAAAGAAATAAATCTAGCCAACTGAATATGACCTGGGATGATCAGGTCAAACAAGAAAGGACAAGCCATACAACTTTGATATGACTATTCTCTAGGTAGTAATGTATTACCTTGGAAGCCACCTGCCCAAAAGCTTAGACTATGTGTGTCCTATCTGGTCTCTTCATATACTTGGACTTTATCTTTCAGTTTGATATAGTCTTGTCCGCGCTAAGATGATAGATCAGTATCACCTAAAGAAGCCCTACCACTTGCGGTATGATATGTTGCTCATGTTAACAAGACACCATGACTTAGTCAACCACAATTCCTTGTCATACCTTAGTGATGTTTGAATCGATATCAAATACGCAAGTAACAAGTGGGTAATGTTTGCCGATGGTGCAGAGCTGCGACTGGAACGAGGCATCACTCCAGGAAGCCATGAACAAGGCAATAGATGAAGTCATAGCAACTCCTGAACCATTCTGTCTTCTAAACTGAGATGAGGCTCGCCAATGTGTGAATCGGTCTGCCGTCATCGTGGACTCGTTATGTACTTCATCTTGATAATAATATTCGATTATAGTTCTCTTATGATGTGTTCATCTTGTCAATGGAAGACGCCAAGGTGCTATAATTGGATGAAGTGGTAAGGCTGTTGCCTTGACTTTGATTAAACTGCAGTTCTTTCATTAATGTTGACTTGTTCAGATTCAAACAAACTAAGCTTCAAACAGAGCCAAAATCCAAAACAAGCACACAAGTTGCCAAACATCGTCTCTCATCAATCATCCCCATATGAACAGTGCATGTTGTGGCGATAGAATCGAAGATGCCTGATTTGTACTCAACAAGTAAAAGATTTCTTCTTTACCCTTCTTTTTGATATGAGCTATTATCTCATGTCAACTAACATATCAATTTCATCGGTTGCTAGTATCAACACACGAATCTAGATTTAAATTAGTATATCATGTATTGAGCAGAATAGAATAGGGAAGAAGTAATACATCTAAAATGTCAAAAAGTATCTTCTTCTAATGGAGATTATTATCAAATGTATATTAACCAAAAATAGCGAGTTTATTGTGTAACAAGTGGAATTCCTTGGGGTGAAATCAATTCCACTTTTAGAGAACATGTAATATTTTTCTTGGGATTAAAGGCATTTGATTAGTACATGTGACGATTCATTATGTTCCATGTGTTTTGATAATTATGATCATGCAATAATTCATAAGAACATAATGTTTATGTCGATACCTTTATTTGATTTGTTTATGTCGAATCCAAATGCCTTGTGCTATCATCGTCTCTTCTCTTGGTGATGTCCATTTCGATCCATCACCTCGTTCCCATAAGAAGCTAGCCGCCCTCTTTGTCTCTCCCCTACTTCCCCTGTTAAGGCCATTGTAATTGATAGAATTATACTTTTAAATTGTCACATAATAATAATAATAATACAAAAGTCATTTCTATTTATAGGCCAAAGGAGGGAGGGTTTAGAAAAGCATCATATTCCCTTTCATTAAAATCAATATCCAAGATTTGAACTTACATAAATATTGGCATTATATCTTTAATTAGAATCCAATAATTATATTTAATACATCTTACTAATTCTATTATTTAATACATCCAATAATATATTATTAACATTCTCACTTGGCTCATAACCCGAAAGAGATATAAAACAAACATTCAAAATCATAATAAAACAAAATTTAATTTTTAAAATAATTTTGCTTGATTGGATTTTAGGTTTTGAAAAATAAATCTTAAAAAATATATTGATATATTCAATAAATATCATAATATTATACTAAGTCAGACTACACTTCTACTAACGTGAGTTAGAACAGTTATATGTCAATTTTATCGTACTTATTAATATTATTAATCCTTCTTCGTACTATAATCCATAATGATTCATGTAATTTTTTTTTATCAAGATAATCATATTTATTACATACAAACATAATATATATATATATACATAAACAAAAAAGAGAATAGTAAAAATATTAACTTTAATTATGTACACATATAATTAGGATGAGGAGGATGATGATAAGAAAGACAGGAAGGTACACAAGTATTACGAATTCATTTATTGTTACTTCCTCATTTTAATTTCTTTTTGGTTTGCAAAGCAGAAAAGAAACTCGAAAGATACGCTCATTTCTATTTTCCAGTAGTGTTCCCACCTTAATTTTTGGAATTAGATAGCTTTTACTTATCGCGGATTGCAAATTGCCCAGAAAATTATTATTTTTTGGTCGAGTCAAAATCCGTCGACTTCGGTGCTGCTATTCTCTCACGCGCGGTGTCCTGACGAGAAATGTTGAGCGGTTTAATCTCGCACAGGGAAGCGAGGCCATGCAATGTTATCAAGGTTACCCCTTACGAGTAGCTTAAGCTCTCTTGCAGGAGAAACCATTCCATTGTGTCCTCCACTCTTTCTTCCTTTTTCCATTGGATCCCCACAACATGTTGCCATATGTTATATGCCCTCGTCGGTGCAACATTCTTTCTACTGCTGTCCGCTGATACCACAGCTTGGCACAATATTTCATCATCTTCTTTATGCCGATACTAGAAACCTGCAAATATTCACCACCATCAGGGAAAACCTAAAACAAAAACAACAAAAGGAGAGAGAAATAATAGATAAGCAAGTTGATGCAATATCACTATCTCGTTTCCTGTATCCTTTTTGAGTTGAAAAATGTGGTAAAAGAATCCTCCCTGTCAAAACCCACCCCATTCCATGAACTTCTTAATCTCATCGTACAAAACCAATATAGCAGCTGCTCCGGTGCTCCTAAACATGTTAGATACTGCTCCTCGGTAGAAGGAAGTTAGCCCCTCCAACCTATAAATCTTCCTCCAGCAATCCAGTGTACCGTGATACATTTGTTCCTCCAATCCAGACTGCATCATCATCCTCCTCCGTACCGTATCCAGTGGATAGGATGCCAGCCCTGCCATGGTCGTTACAGCTTGTGCTGTCACCCATCGCTTCCACAACGCAGAATCTTGTGGAAGAAGCAAATCTTTAGCCGTATCGAAACCACCAAAGTATAGGCCGCGGTGGACGATCATTCCATGAACTGATGCAGGTAGGCCTCGGTAGATACCTCGAATGCCATCTTTCTTGTAGATGGTGCGGAGGAAATGGCAGATGCCTCTGAATTGCCGGGAGTCTGTTCTGCCAATGTCAGCTGCAAGCCGCGTGTGTGCTATATCCAGTGGATAGATAATAACTAATGTTGTGCAGCCTGCTGCAGCCCCTGCCATGAAATTGGAAGCTGCGATAGACATGAACTGATCCGCCTCTCCTCTCTTCAACATGGTTCTGTAAAGATCCTGAAAGAGTATCATGTCAGAGAACTTGAAAGCAATCAGCCCATGCATGCTTTGTAAATGATAACCAGTACCTTTTACAAGGTTCAGCGATATCAGAAATGCAGAGAAAAGCAAAACATGTGACAAAGAAGATGGAAATAATGTACAATATGAAACTAATCAGAATGACCGTGCTCTTATATGCAAGACTGTGCATCGAAAAAGTTGTAATAGTAAGATAGAACAAGCACGCGTAGGACTTACAGGAACAAGCATGCTAAATCAGTAAGTTTTACAGGCAATTTAGGGATCCCTGCTTCTAGTTCAAGCTGGGGTCCTCACCCTACTCAGTATACATCTGATGCTACGCCACAAAAAAAAGATTCTTGTCGTTGAAATTATCCATCAATTTGTGTTCATTTAACAATTTAGATTCAACAATATTATGAAACTGCAGGAAAATGATCCCATATATCTCCTACAGTTTGTATATATCATAGGGAAAAAGATCCCATATAATTCTTGTAGTAAATTACCTATAAGATCCTGCAAATGTTATTCCAAGGAGACGAGCAAAGCACAGTCAAGAATGGCTGACAGTACAATAAGGTGCCAATCCATAGTGCACACTAATAGTGTGCCAACACATGTTACAGTGGCTATGCACGGCACTATGCCATCTGGTAGATAACGACACTGGAGCAAATTCACAGATGTCCTCCAAACCAGTACTCAAATACAGGTCTGTGGCACATACAGTATAGTGGCTGGTTTGGTATATAAAGATATCGATGGAGAAAATAAAAAAGGTTATTCTATATATTTATCCATGATTTAATATACTTTGTACTGGTACCAAGTTGTATCAGACATATCAGTTGGTAGAGTTGACAAGTAATAAGTAATCAAATTTGGAAGCATTAGATTGTAGAAGAATTTGTGGTTCACAAGTAACAAAAATATCATATCCTTCATGGTATAGTTGTGGCTGTTAATTGTTGCATAGAGCAAATCGCTTGATTAATATATATTCAAGTGGACATGACTGACATAGAGGAAACCACAACCTTGCATAACCAAACTAGCCATTTCATCTGATGCTGGACCACTTTCTTGAGGTTGCCTTTCAGAGGAATTAAGTAATTCCAACCTACAGTTGTTATCCAGGTCTTCTTGGCCTTCATATTGGTTCTTGACTTTAAAGTACGGCATTATATTGATGATGGTAAGCTATTAAAGAATGCTTTTCCATGGATTATATATGGATAGGGCAATTTTGAATGTCCACATGCAGCAGGCTAGATAAAGTTGCTCCTTTGTGATCCAATGACGAGTGTTTGAGCTTGGAACTGACACTACATATGTTGATCCTAACCAAAGAGTACATTGGCAAAAGCCTCATACAATGGACCATCCATTTCTTCATGTAGGCAAATGGACCATCCTTCTCTTCACGTAGGGGACATTAACCTACAAGTGCATTACACTGTTTACAACATGATCTTTCATGTGGCTTATGTATCGGATCAACTGAAACTAACACCTTTTTATGGACAAAGGAAATCCCAGACTAGTTTCACCTACATGAGCGTGTACATATAGCAGGCCTCCATGTACACATGGCATTTGGTTTTAAGGATTAACCAATGATTTAAAAAGCGTTAGGTACCAAAAGACACCAAGGTCCCAAAATGCTCAAGACACTAAGCGCTCGCCAAGGCGCTTGCCCAAGCAAAGCAAGGCGTTCTACAATATTAAAATATAAAAAATATATAATATAATTGATAAATATGATTATATAAATAAAAATCCTGAAACCCTAATAACAGTTCTAAATAAATAGATATTAACAATGTTAAAATCTAAATAAGGACTATCATATGATAACAATCGTTAACAATCTACCAATTAACAATAGTTAGAGGGGGAGAAAAGAGTTATCTACTGTTAACGGTAGTTAGAGGGGGAGAAAAGAGTCACCGACAATGGAAAGTGGGGAAGGAGAGGATAGCGGTGATGGAGGAACTTTCGGACGATGGAGGCGACAGCAGAGGAAGCTTCAGGCGACAACATCGACAGCGGAGGAAGCTATGGACGATGGAAGCTGCAGACGACGATATTGTGGGCTGAGGAAGCTTCAAAGGTGTCTGTTAGTGGCGAAGGAAGTTGCGATCCTCTCCCTCGATGGTGGAAGGAGCTGCACACGAAAACAATGGCAGCGGAGGAAACTGTGCACGAAGGCTAGG